ATTCTAATATTTTTGTCAAGCACAAAATTTATTGCAAATAAAGTATTGGCATGACTTGCTGAAAAGGTTAAAAAAAATAGCTAAAGTAAAACTATAGGAAGAGGATAAAGAAAATGAAAAATGACAAGAAAATAGCTACAATAAAGAGTTTAAGATAAAGATAAAAGAGAAGAGTATAAGATGAATAAAGTTAAAAGAACTACAAGATATTTCAAACTTAGTAAAGAAAAAAGAAAATACACCTTATATAGTAGCAAATAAAGAAGCATTGCTAAAGGCAGATAATTTAAAAAAGATAGCAGCAAAGGGCAATGTAGTTAATGAACTTAGAAATCATGAGAGAGTACAGATTAAAAATAGCTAAAAAGCAGAACTAATAAACTAGCTAATTAAGGATTAAGATATACAGACAGAGTTAAAGGAAAGCTTTACAAAGAATATAGAAAAGAGGAAAATAGTAATATATACAGAGAGATTATTATAAAAAGAGTATTGTCTGGCGATCTTAGTGTAGTGGTTAAGTTGCCAAACTGCCATGCAAGAGGTCTAGGGTTCAAATCTCACTGTATACAGAATTGAATAATTACCTAGACATCTGTATCTAACTTACGGTAAACTCTGCCAGTTTCTGGGGTTGTAACTCTGTAAATCATGTTGTACCAATACCAATTGGGGTATTGGAAGTGTGATAGAGCATTTGGCAAGGTATAACATTACATGAATAAATCTTGATAGAAAAAATATCAGTGTGGCGGTAGTTAATTACAGAATGATATACATATACTGATCTACGGGCAGGGGACCTGCATGGTAGAAACCCTGAGTTAGATGAAGTAGTATAGATTTCAATGGTCATACCAGTTTACACCTAATCTGGTGAAAGAAATTTGTGGCTAAAAGATGTGACTAAGCGGGTGCGAGTAAGTCTATCATACAAGGTCATACGGCAACACCAACCTAGCTTGGCAGCTAACTGGATTGTGAGAATCTGTTTCATAAAACATCCAAAAACATAGAGGACTGATCTGGTAGAAGGTCACAGTAGGAACTGGGTTTGTACGAATATCGAATAAGGGTATATACAAGCTAGATTGGGATATAGCATAGTATAGTTAGGTACCACAGCACCCTATCAGTTAAGGAGTTAGTGAAAGGACACCTTGTGATAAGGTCTAGGCTCTGAACCATAAAGTTTGTAGACTAATGTTAGCTCAGGTGTCTTCCAGGAGAAGTAGCACAGAGTTAGGTGAATTTGGTAAAACAAGGATAGAATACAAGTAAGTATCATAGGGCCAGAGAGTTTAAATAGGTAATCTTCAAATAGATTTCAGGTATAGCAGCTAGTGTAAAACCTTCAGACGGACTACTTAAATTAGATAATCTAAAGTTGTATATGTGGCTAGTTATACTCTCACAATATATATTATTTACTCACTATTAATACCAATAAAAAATTTGGCTGATGGCATTTGTATAAAGTAAAAAAAAAAAAATAAAAAAAAATAAAAAAAATAAAAATAAAAAGAATATTTATAACAAAGAATGAGATATAGTATAGTACAAACAGATGAGCAAGATAGAATAGTATATAGTCATAAGAGTAAAATAGAAAAATAGTTCTCATCTATATGAGCTGAGTTAGCAGCATATCTGATAGCAATCTTAATTATATCAAATAATTATATAGTAAAAATTCATACAGATAGTCTATGTGTAATAGTAGCAATATCAAAGAGCTTTAAAAATAAAAGTACAAGACAGTAGCTAAAGTTTAAAAACAACAGTATCTTATAAGCAATAGTCAAAGTTTGCAAGAGTAAAAAATTGCAAATAGAGATATAGAAGATCAAAGTATATTCAGAAAATATATACAATGATATAGCAGATCAGCTCACAAAAAAAGATACAAAAGGAAGTTTATTACTCGAGATTAATAATATTAGTATCAAGAATATAAAGTTTCTTCTAGAATAGAAGGATTGTAAACTTGATAAACCACTCAAAACCTTCATCAAAACAATAGTTCAAACAATATATAAGGCTAAATAGATCTGAATAAGGAAAAAAAAAGATGAATGGTATCAATATCATCTAAAGTCTCAGAACTGAAAAGCTTTCAAAAGCCTATTGAGAAGCTGTTATAAGCAAAAAGAAGCAACTATAAAAGCAAATCATATATGTATCTTTAAAATTAAATGTATCAAAAATCTACTTCTAACTATCAGATTCTTAAATATTCAAAAATTATATTTATATAAAGACAATATATGCAAAAGATACTTCAAAAAACCAAAGTCAAATGAATATATTATCTGGTGCGATGAAGTATAGAAAGCATTCAAGAGAATAAATAAAGAAGTTTAAAAAAAGTTACAAAGTAACAAAAAAAAAGAGGAAAAATAGAATCTTTAAAAAATAAAGCAAGCTATTCAAAAGACTTTCAGAGAAGAAAAGCAAATACAAAACATCTAATAGCTACAAGAGATTCTAAATAAAAGTAATATATTAAAAGTAAAAGAGATAATAGGTACAGAAAAGTTAGCATTAAAGTTTTGGTATATATTTTGAAACTTCTGAATTGAGCAGATTTATAATGAAGTCTGAACTATATGATATAACAAGATGAATGTCTGGAGAATTGAGAAAGAATATCACAAAAGGAAAAAAGGTTAGAATAAAAGCAAAGGTGATAAAAAGGAAAGCAAAAAGAGAATAAATTAGGACATACGAAGTAGACAATAAGACTACAAACTCATGTAGTATAAAAAGAACTAATAAGAATATAAGAAAATTAGTTTAAAGTTTAAATTAGCAAGTAACAGTATATTAAAAAAAATTTTAGAAGGGTTTAAAAATGTATGGATATAAGATACAAATATGATAAGCTGTAGCATCTTTCTTTTGAAGTGCTTTTAGGTACTCATAAAATGAAACTAAAAATACAGAGATTAAAGATCACTATAGCAGATCACACTTAGGTACTAAAATAGTAACTGAGTGAGTTAATACTTAGAATTAATCACTAGATAGTAGAATATACTAGATAGAGTTTTTAGTCATAGACAAAAAATTTAATTAAAAAAAGTATTAGCATGATTGCTGAAAAAAAATAAAATAAAATAAATAGATCTGTTAGTTTAAGATGCTGTTAATAAATATAAGGTATGCATTACTCAAAGAATGCTAAAAAGAATTATACTGATACGTCTAATTATTTCTAAATTATATATAGGCAAGTAAATAATTTGTAACATTAATATAAAAAAAAAAAAAAGATTATTATATATATTATTAAATAGATATATTGCTATGACTTAATTTCTGATGAAGATACAACTTAAGAGCATCTAATCCAACTCAAAAATGCTCAATCTAAGAATACTCAACTTATGTATTTAAAAATTTTTTTAAACTTTAATAAAAATTTTACTAATGCTAATATAAATTTTAATTATAATAATAATTTAAATAATAGAAATATTAGTTTAAACCAAAAACCTTGTCTAGACTATTGCTATTATTAAAAAATGAATTGCAATATAAAATTATACTCTTGTAAAAAAAATAATTTGGTATACTCAAGACTCTGTGAATATGTTTTATATAGATAATAGAAAAATTATTAGTTTTATTATTAAAATATTAATATATTATATTAATTTAAATATGGTTAGTTAAAATGTAGCTAATTACAACTCTTTCTGTAGATCATTTGGTCACAAAATTGAGCTAAAGGTTACTATATAGATAAACTATTAAACTCACTAATTAATACCCCTTAGCATATTAAGAAAAGAGATACAAAAAGTAAAACTACACATAAAGAAGTAGAAGAACAGAAAAACTCGAG